AAAAAAGAAAAAAAAAAAAAAAAAAAAGGTTGGAGGAAGTATTAGTATTAGGTGTAGTTTAGGATAGGTATGTTTATATGGGTCGATAATCTGATCAATTCGAATTACCTAATCCAACTCATAAAAGTCGAGTTCGATTATATATTTTTTTTTTCAATTTGGGTTGGATTGAAATTTCTTAAAACTAAAAATTTGGTTTTGTTTAAAGATTATATTTTTTTTTCGCCCGTCCAACTCGAAAAAAGGTTACAACCCAACTTACATCTACTTTTAAAAATGTTAAAAATATTTAATGTTTGTAACGGATAATGAGTTATTGTGATTTGTAAATGTTTGATGTTTGATGTTTTAACTATATTTGAGTTATTAATCTAACATATATCGGGGGTGGATAAGATTTTCTTTTATATATATATATTTCTCCCTACACAAGGTTATATACTGTGAGCCGTTGTGGTTACTCTCTTGCTTGTTTGTACAACGTCTCTTTAAAAAATCTCTCTCTGCCCTCTTTCTCTTAAACCGAGGTCAGAGGCTTGAGCATATGTCACTTGGCCGTAGGGGACGCGAGAACAAATTGGCTTAACTCACTGGTTGTTGGAAAGTGAGTGCCGCACAATCGCAAGTCCGCTACCATCAAGAGTGCGATTGTGACAAATATATTTATCGTGTAATTTGGTACTTTCAATGTATCAATCAAAGAACAAATTAATCATGGAGCAGTGTATATAAAAGTTAGTTGATGATATCCATATAACAATAAATAACATTGTAGTTTTTATATTTATAATACAAAAATGAATATATCATAACATTTATGTTATGTGTTAGTTTGTTCATGCAAATGTGTCGTTTATCATTATCCATCCCAACATAATTTAACTGAATTCTTAAGTAAAATTTTAAAAATAAAATTAATTATTTTCTTTAAAAAAAGAAACTTAATTTAATTTTTGAAAACGTATTTAAAAAATAGGGGTAAAAAGAATAGATAAATAAATAAATAAAAATACATGGTGGATTTGGTTTAGAGATTTAAATAGAAAATTAATGATTTTATTTTTACATTATATTTTTAAGAATTAAGCTATAAGTTGTCTTTTTTCTAAAAAAAAATACATGGTGGATTTGGTTATTTGTTTGCTTTTTATTAAATATATATTTTTTGAAATTGAAAAAAAAAAGCTATTAATAACTATTTTGTAGCTTTTTAAATTTAGTTTTTTAAAAAATTACAATATTACACTCAGTATTTCAAAACTAAAACAAAGATAAATATTGGAAATATTATTTTTATAATTTAACTTAAAATATATGTGAAAATTATTATTAGTAAATAATCCCCGAATTTTATGGCTCGGATATAAGAAATTAAATAATTATTGGCCAGTATTAATATGACGTGGAGCTTACGCAATTAAAAGATAAAATCGAAATAAAAACTGTCTTTTTTTTTCTTTTTTTCTTTACTTATCCGAACAGTATTTAATTTGGAATTAAATGTCTTAAAACAGAGCCCAACGCCGAAAAGCCTAAAACAGAATCAGAGAGAAAAAACGGTTTCTCTCTCGATGGAAGACGGAAATAAACTCTACAGTCATACGGTTTCTTCCTCGGGGGAAAATCCTCAATCATTTTTTGATGACTGAAAATTCTCCATTCATTTCTAAAAATTTGTCTGCTTCGTCCTTTTCCTGTTCGTGGCTTTCTTTTGTCCTGTTTGTTTAGAATTAATTGTATTATTAGGATTTTTTTGATTGTTCGACTGGGAGGATCGAAATGAGGATTGAGAAGGAGGCCGAGGCTGTTTCAGCGTCCCGAAATCATCTGGTTTTCGCTTACTATGTTACTGGTCATGGATTTGGCCACGCTACTCGCGTTATTGAGGTCAGCTTTGTTCATCCAATTCTATTGATCGTGTTTAGAATCAACTTTTTTTCTTTTTTCTTTTTTTTTTTTCCTTCTGGTTTGATGAGAAATTGTGAGTTTGACTTACGAACATGGAACCTGTAGGGCTGGAGATTTCATATTAAGCTGAATTATCGAGGAATTTTTGGGTTTATTTAGCGTGTTCCTTTTGAATTTCGATTTTGGGGTTTTGTTTTATGTGTTTTGCTTCGTTGAGGGAGTGGGGTTATATGGGACGTGAGAATTTTCCCATTTTTTGTTTTGATTGCTTACTTTTTACTCCGGCGATCATATCCTGATTATCGAAGATGTTTGACGTAATGCTTATGTGAAAAGGTTGTTCGACATCTTATACTTGCTGGGCACGATGTTCATGTGGTCAGCGGTGCTCCGGAGTTCGTTTTTACTTCGGCAATTCAGTCTCCTCGGCTGTTCATACGAAAGGTAATTTCAATTCCAATGGCAGTTCAAGAGATTCGTTTCTTTTCTTTTATGAAAGTTTAATTTGATTTTAATTCTTTTTCTTTGATGTTTTAATCAATTTGTTGTGTTTTACATTTGCGATGCATTTTTGAATGAATGACCATGTCATTACTTAGAACAAACAGTATCATTTGATTTGGATATGCAAACCATGTCAATTCTTATGCGAAAATGATTCTGTAGTGTTTGTAAAAGTCTCATTACTTATCAGGTATTGTTGGATTGCGGAGCTGTTCAAGCAGATGCACTGACAGTGGATCGGTTGGCATCATTGGAGAAGGTGAATGGAGAAATATTTAATGTTTCTTTTCTTGTTTATTGTGAGATCCCACTTCGGTTGGAGAGGGAGGGGAACGAAGTATTTCTTATAAGTGTGTGGAAACATCTCCCTAACAAACATGTTTTAAAACTGTGAAACTGACCACAATACTGACAGGCAGAAGCTGACAATATCTCCTAGCAGTGGGATTGAGCTGTTACAAATAGTATTAGAGCCAGACATCAGGCGGTGTGTTAGCGAGGACGTTGGACCCCCAAGGAGGATGGATTGTGAGATCCCACATCAGTTGGAGAGGAGAACAAAGCATTCCTTATAAGGGTGTGGAAACCTCTCCCTAGTAGATATGTTTTAAAATCGTAAAATCATAAGGCTGACGACGATACGTAACAGGCCAATGCAGATTTATCTTCGCACCGGTTATCTGTTTCCGTTATTCTCCCCTGATCCCTTAAAAAAAGAAACTACATTGAAGGCTGGAGCTACCGGCTATAGCCTTCACTATATTCTTATTAGTTTATGCTTTATCATTTTCTTTTTCCTTCTAATTGTGTTGGTGTTTTTTTTTTTTTTTAATCTATTAGTATCATGAGACAGCTGTGGTGCCTCGTGCTTCTATTTTGGCAACCGAAGTAGAGTGGCTCAATTCAATCAAAGCTGACTTAGTGGTAAATGATTCTCATAGTATGTATACTAAATAGTGCAATTCAAACTGCATAATATCATTATGATGATACATTTTAGGCTGTTAATTAGTTGATTATCATTATCATCTAATATCAAAAACCCAAGCGGGAGATTCTTTTGCTTTAAACCACATATCTAATATAAATAAGGCTTGGCGGATTTGCTTTTGTTGCCATGATAAGCAGGTTTCAGATGTTGTACCAGTTGCTTGTCGTGCTGCTGCTGATGCTGGGATTCGATCTGTTTGTGTCACAAACTTTAGGTAACTTAATGTTTATCAATTTCTTATTACTCAGAACTGCCAGTATCTCTTAAATTTTAATGCTCTTTTCACTTGGCACTTAAAGTAGATTTGGCAATATCTTGCATTGTTCCAAAACTCTCTTGTTTGGCTAATGATCATTAGTTCATATTTGCAGTTGGGATTTTATCTATGCGGAGTATGTGATGGCGGCAGGGCATCATCACCGTTCTATTGTCTGGCAGGTGAATCAATCTCTTTCTTCATTAATGTGTTGCCGAGGCCTTGATCATGCTGATTAGAGCTATATGAAAAGAATATGGTCTTGTTTTAACATTACCTTTCTGTTATCTCCTTGTAGTAGCCCTTGATTGGTCATTTCTTGTTAATTCGTTATGTCTTTTTACAGATTGCAGAGGATTATTCACATTGCGAGTTCCTGATTCGCCTTCCCGGATACTGCCCAAGTATTAATGTCCTACCAATCATTTTCTTAACAATATCACTACTCATGGCTCTGGGTATTCTCTTCTTTACATTTATAACTATACAACACATCCACCTTTTGCAGTGCCTGCTTTTCGCGACATCGTTGATGTACCTCTAGTTGTTAGAAGGCTTCATAAGCAGCGCAAGGAGGTACTGTCTTGTGGAGTTTTGTTAAATCTCTTGATCATTTTAAGTCATTAACCCTGTCTTGATTCATTATTATAGGTCAGAAAAGAGCTTGGAATTGGAGAAGATACAAAGTTAGTTATCCTCAATTTCGGGGGACAGGTTTGTCTCAGTATTTTAATGCTTTCATTGCTTTCTTTTATGAAATTGAGATGTCTGCAAAGACGGTATAATAGCTTTCGCTTTTGAGCTAACTTTTCCCTTTCTTGTTTTTGTCTCTCTCACTGGCAGCCTGCCGGCTGGAAGTTGAAAGAGGAATACTTGCCCCCAGGCTGGCTGTGTCTGGTATCTTTTGAACATCTTATTTCCATCATTTTCATAAGATAACTAGGTGATTCTATGATCACGGACACGACATTGTGCCATTTTGACTATTGGTTCAGGTTTGCGGTGCTTCTGAAACTGAGGAAGTTCCACCAAATTTCATCAAACTTGCAAAAGATGCATATACACCTGACCTAATAGCTGCTTCTGATTGTATGCTTGGTGAGTTATGAATAATATCGTCAGTTATTGTTGTTGAGGATGGTTGGGAGGGAGTCCCACGTTGGCTAATTTAGGGAATAATCATGAGTTCAAGTAAGGAATACATCTCCATTGATACGAGGCCTTTTGAGGAAGCCCAAATCAAAGCCATGAGAGCTTATGCTCAAAGTGGACAATAGCATACCATTGTGGAGAGTCGTGGTTCCTAACATGGCATCAGAGTTATGCCCTTAACTTAGCCATGTCAATAGAATCCTCAAATGTCGAACAAAGAAGTTGTGAATTTCGAAGATGTAGTCAAAAGTGACTCAAGTGTCGAACAAAGGGTGTAATTTGTTTGAGGACTCTAGAGAAGGAGTCCATCCTCGATTAAGGGGAGGCTATTTGAGGGCTCTATGGTGTACTTTGTTTGAGATGAGGATTGTTGAAGATTGTTGGAAGTGACTACACATTGGCTAATTTAGGGAATGATCATGGGTTTATAAGTAAGGAATACATCTCCATTGGTTTGAGGCCTTTTGGGGAAGCCCGAAGCAAAGCCACGAGAGCTTATGCTCAAAATGGACAATATCATACGATTGAGGAGAGTCGTGGTTCTGAATAGTTGTGCCCCGAGCTTAATTGGATTAAAAGAGGTAGATTAATATTCTTACTGTTCTTTCAGGCAAAATTGGATATGGAACTGTCAGTGAAGCATTGGCATTCAAATTACCTTTTGTCTTTGTTCGTCGTGATTATTTTAACGAAGAGCCATTCCTTAGGAATATGCTTGAGGTGAAATTGAATTGCTGTCTTCTAATGTGTACTCCATGTATTCTGGTTGTTCATAATCTAATTATTTCATCATCTCATGAACAGTATTATCAAAGTGGAGTTGAGATGATAAGAAGGGACCTACTCACAGGTCATTGGAAACCATATCTCGAACGTGCAATTAGTTTGAAACCTTGCTATGAGGGTGGCACCAATGGTGGTGAGGTATGGTCTTCTACACATTGTATCAGCATGTTCTCGCAGTTCTTCTCGATTCTATTTAGTTTGTCTACCTTTTTCCATCGATAAAGACGAAGCGCTTCTCCTTTTATGTTCATGGGGTACGATTGTTCTAGTTTCTAATTCTCTCTTTGAAAAGTTCAGGTTGCAGCTCATATCTTGCAGGAGACAGCCAGTGGCAAAAACTATACATCGGATAAGGTCAAAATCAACTTTAGTGTACTCGTTTTTTATCACTCGTAATGACGATTATTTCCGTAGCTGAGTGAAATTTGTTGTTTGTATATGGTTGGTGTATGAGACATCTTGTGTTATTCTCATTTTTCTCTATAGTTTAGTGGAGCTAGAAGATTGAGGGATGCTATAGTTCTTGGTTATCAACTCCAAAGAGTCCCAGGACGAGATCTATGCATCCCAGATTGGTATGCCAATGCTGAAAGTGAACTTGGTCTTTCGTCACCACCATTATCTGTAGAAGGGAGGGGCTCTCACATGGAATCGTGAGAACTTTTTGAACTTGAAATGTAGTTTTATCTTGAAAACAGGTAGATTCTTGTTTTTTAATCTAATAATATCTGTTGTTGTATGATCATGACTTTTAATAGATATATGGAAGACTTTGATGTGCTTCATGGAGATGTTCAAGGTCTTTCTGATACAATGAGTTTCTTAAAGAACCTAGCTGAATTGGACTCAGTATATGATAAGGGAAACGCTGAGAAACGCCAAATGCGAGAGCGGAAGGCTGCTGCTGGGCTTTTTAATTGGGAGGTCGCAATTTTGTTGTCTTTTTTGTTATTTATTTTTGGTGAGTATAAAATGGGAATACTTATTATATGTATATTTGTGTATACAGGAAGATATTTTTGTGACGAGAGCTCCAGGAAGATTGGATGTCATGGGAGGCATTGCTGACTACTCAGGAAGTCTTGTTCTTCAGGTAAAGTTACGCTTTTGTTCTCAAACTTCAAATACTTATTCCTTATTTATAGTAGCGATTCTAACATGCTCTTTCCCTCTCTCTTTTGTTGTTGTAGATGCCTATAAGAGAAGCATGCCATGTAGCTGTGCAAAGAAACCATCCGACTAAGCACCGCCTCTGGAAACACGCTCAGGCTCGACAGAACGCCAAAGGAGAAGGGTCCAAACCTGTTCTTCAAATTGTAAGTCGTAACGTTAATCACCATGGACTTCTTCCTTTCGTTTTCTCATTAATCATTATTTTCTCTACTTGAATAGGTGTCGTATGGGTCTGAGTTGAGTAACCGTGCCCCGACGTTCGACATGGATTTGTCGGACTTCATGGATGGGGATAAGTCAATGTCGTATGAGAAAGCAAGGAAATATTTTGCTCAAGATCCTGCACAGAAATGGGCAGCATACATTGCAGGCACCATATTGGTTTTAATGAAAGAGTTGGGTGTTCGTTTTGAAGATAGCATCAGCTTGCTGGTAGGCAAAACAAATTGTGTTATTTTTTTTGCCCAAAGTATTATCTTTCTAAAAGAAAATGTGATATGGGGGATAGTTTTAGGGCCTTTTGACATATTACTCGATAAGAAAGGTTTTAGATAAGTTTTTCTTTCAACTTTGGAGATTTCTCCACTATTCAGGATGGATGTTCTAATTGTTCTTGGTCATTGATCCCATTTAATATGGGACAGGTTTCGTCGTCAGTCCCCGAAGGGAAGGGTGTATCGTCATCGGCGTCGGTGGAGGTTGCTTCAATGTCTGCCATAGCTGCTGCTCATGGTAATTTCTAGAACCTTTGCTTTGTATGGAGTAGGCATTTGTCAATGAATGAAATAGAATGAAATGGGAAAATATTGCAGGATTAAGTATCAGTCCAAGGGATCTGGCGCTCCTTTGTCAAAAGGTATGAACTTTAAACTGAGGTTGATTTTGTTCAATTATGTTATATCTACTTGAGCATAAGCTCTCGTGAGTTTGTTTTTTGATTCTTCATACCAATAGAGATATATTCCTTATTTATAAACCCATGATCAATCTCTTAATTAGTCAATGCGGGATTCCTTTTCCAACAATCCTCAACAATCCTCGCCTCGAACAAAGTACACCATAGAGCCACTCCTGAGGCCTATGGAGCCCTCAAACAGCCTCTCTCCCCTTAATCGCGGCTCGACCCCTTCTCTGGAGCCCTCGAACAAAGTACACCCTTTGTTCGACACTTGAGTTACTTTTGACTAAATTTTCGAGGGTCCCAACTTCTTTGTTCGACATTTGAGGATTCTATTGACATGACTAAGTTAAGGCATGACTCTAATACCATGTTAGGAATTACGACTTTTCACAATAGTTTGATAATTGTCCACTTTGAGCATAAGCTCTCATGACTTTGCTTTTGGGTTTCCAATTAGACCTCATACCAACGGAGATATACTCCTTGCTTATAAATCCATGATCAATTCCTTAATTAACCGATGTGAGACTCTTCTTCTAACCATCCTCGACAAATTATATTATCTACATGTAGCCTTTTTGTTTCTTTTAAAGAACTAAGAAGTGTTGAAAACGTTAATTGACTAGGTGGAGAATCACATAGTTGGAGCACCGTGTGGAGTGATGGACCAGATGACATCCGCGTGTGGTGAAGCTGATAAACTGCTAGCAATGGTGTGTCAGGTATGATATCATAATATCCCGTCCAATCAACGCCCTATTAAAACCTAAACCAGAAGAAGCATCACGTGTTCTTCAAAATATAAAAAATGGCTCGAGAATGATAAGCTTTTCTTACTCAATGTGGGATCTTTTTGACACACAGCCCACTCCTCCTAGGCTGGCCTGGTCCCAGCGACCCCTTTGTGAGGAGACACCCAAGGTGTCCCTGAACATATAGGTTTTGCCCCTCACCTGAAGGGTTCTGGAATACCTAGAGACCATTTTTCATATATTTCATTAACAGCAACCCCCTCTTTAACATATCTGAGTACTTATTTTACAGGGTAATAATAACGTGTTTTGGAATTGGATTTCGTTTTGTTTTTCAGCCTGCGGAGGTGATTGGGCTGGTTGATATACCTCGTCACATTCGATTTTGGGGAATCGATTCAGGAATTCGACACAGGTAACCTTATATCTTTTTGTCAATGTTATTCACTTTTTTCTTGCCAATTACTTCGATTCTTCCATGTTTTTTTTTTTATGTTTTTTAAAAAAGTTACCTTTTTCCTTGATAAGTTGTTATCTTTTTAATATATTCTCTCTACCATACCTCTTTGGCTCTTTCCAACTTTTACCTTTTTCTTTCTTACTTTAAATTTGTTTCTCTCAACTTTTTTCCTCTATTTTTCTTTTCTACCAAGTCTTTTAGTTTTCTTTCTTTCTTTAATACACATCTTTCTAACCTTTTAACCTTTCTCTTTCTCAACAACTTTTTCACTCCAAAATTTATCCTTCCTATTTTTTTCACCATAACCTTTTTCCCCCCTTAAACTTTTTCTTTCTAAATTGTATCTTTACAAAGTGCTATATTTTCAAAAGACAGAAAACATCAAATAGTTGTTAATCTTCATTGTTGGTGGTGCAGCGTTGGTGGGGCGGACTATGGGTCAGTTAGAATTGGAGCATTCATGGGGCGGAGAATGATAAAGTCGAGAGCATTGGAGTTGTTATCAAACTGCTCATCACCGGCCAATTGCATAAGCCAGGATGACTTGGAGGATGACGGCATTGAATTACTGGAAACCGAATCCTCCTTAGATTATCTATGCAATCTCCCGCCTCACCGCTATGAAGCCATGTACGTCAAGCAGCTGCCAGAGACGATAACAGGGGAGGCTTTTGTTGAGAAATATTCGGATCATAACGATGCTGTTACGGTGATCGATCCAAAGAGGGTTTATGGAGTCAGGGCCTCTGCTCGTCATCCTATCTATGAGAATTTCCGTGTCAAGGTATGCATTTGCTTTGGCATTTACATTTTGCAATTTCAAGTACTATACAACTATAGAAGGTCAGACTATACATATTTAGTTTTATGAGATTCCACATCGGTCGGAGAGAGAACGAACATTTCTTATAAAGGTGTGAAAACCTCTCCATAGTAGACACATTTTAAAATCATGAGGTTGACGACGATACGTAACGGGCCAAAGCAGACAATATCTTTTAGTAATGGGTTTGATCTGTTACAAATGATATCAGAGCCAGACACCAGAGGTGTGCCAGTGAGGACGCTGGACCCCCAAGGGGGGTGAATTGTGAGATCCCACATCGGTTGGAGAGAGGAACGAAACACTCCTTATAAGGGTGTAGAAAACTCTCCATGGTAGATGCATATGATTGATTGATGGGTGGATGTTGAATATGGTTATGGCTTGGATTTGAAGGCCTTCAAAGCGCTGCTCACATCTGCCACTTCTGACGACCAACTCACATCTCTTGGAGAATTGCTGTATCAGGTACTACCATATATATGCCAACTCTTACAAAAGCTCTTTCTAAGTGAAAAAACCAAATAAAAATGGTAATATTTGCATTGTGGTTGGAGCGCAGTGCCATTATAGTTACAGTGCGTGTGGACTGGGTTCGGATGGGACGGACAGGCTCGTCCAATTGGTTCAAGACATGCAGCACTCGAAGGTATCCAAATCCGAAGATGGGACATTGTATGGAGCAAAGATTACCGGTGGGGGCTCCGGTGGAACCGTCTGCGTAATGGGTCGAAACTCCTTAAGCAGCAGCCACCAAATCATCGAGGTCTCTTGTCTTTCTTCCTTTTGCACTTCCTCTCTTCCCTCCCCATATGGTTGTTTATTTGATTCTTGTAAGCTTTTAATTGGTGATTCAGATACAGCAAAGATACAAAGGAGCAACAGGGTTCTTGCCATATGTGTTTGATGGTTCTTCCCCTGGTGCTGGTAAATTTGGATACCTCAAAATTCGAAGGCGCTTATCATCCCTCAAAGCTAAAGAGCAATAGCAAGAACATCATTCATACACTTTCTTGAGATATAATAAGGTATACTACCTCACAAATACGAGTGGTGAGGAGGATTCGAACTTATATCGACTTACTTTCATTCATCGCTATTTATTTGTGGAATAAAATAATTTAATAATTTTTCTTTTAAGGCTTCCATGATCTCGGTGATATAGCTTGACAATTAAATGAGGTAATATAGTGCTTGTCAAAATAATTCGGAAAATCAAATGTATGACAACAAAATATTTCACGTTTGCATTTATTATGTGTATGAACTCTAGATGGATGCAAGTGAAGCAGGCTCCACATAGTTGGCTATTTGTCAAAATAATTTGAAAGATCAAACGTTCTTCCATTTTTGTATGAATTCTGTCCCACGACATGAGCTCTCTATATTATTATTAGCTCTATATATTTGTATTTCAGTCACCTTAATCAAATTTTAACTCTATCTGATTTCACGTAATTTGATTCGTGTACGAAAATTCTTTTAATTCAATACAACGAAAACTTCATTCGAAATTATTCAATTCAATACAAGGAAAAGGTCGGAAAAAAAATCATTACTTATTTCAATCGTTTTTTTACCTAAAAAAAAAAAAGAAAATTGAATTTGGAAGAAATGTGATGGGGAGATGTATTTTATTATTGGTTTGAAATTAAACAAAAACAAGCGGAAGTGGGACCCAAAGAACGTGGGTAACAATAAAGAAATGGGTGTCTGCCACGTGTCCACGTTATTATCTTTGAATAAAAATATTCCCGTTTGGTGATCGATCATCCACCCTCGTCGTTGGACTTAGTAGCTGTAATTGGCTGGCCATATCCAATCAGTGTTGAAATTTGAGGGTGCCAGGGGTATTTTGGTCAATTTCCCTGTACCACGCCAAAGAGTTGTTGAGAATTTGTCAACCCGAGGAGGAGACAGACTGTACACCCTCCCCCTATTATTTTTTCTTTTTATATTTAACCCAATTCCCACCTCTCATAATCCAACACGTGTCCACTATAAGGGTATTCTTGTAATTTTGCCACCGATCATATATTATTTATTTACGTATAATGCCGAAATTAAAAGATTAACAATCGGTGCTGCTATGAATGTTACCATCTAGCACGTTGGTCGTGACCATTTTGTACAAATTATATTTATTTTTAATTAATTAAAGTAATAAATACACCATTTTATTTTTATCTTTATTGTTCATGCGTGTCACTAACTTATTTTTAAAAGACGGTAACATTACTAATTAAACAACAAAATGGACTTAGAAACGAGGGAATGAGTCAACTGATGAACATCTCCGCCATTGAAAAAAGAACACATTCGTAAATCTAATTGGTTAGATCTACCCTCATCAATACCAAGGTGAACGCTCGAGTTCAAAATTACCATCATACCCCTTGAAGTATCCGTTACATGGCATCGAGTCGTTCGGTGCACATGGGTTCAGTAATATAAAATTTAAAACTATAGGACCTTTTTATGATTAAAAAGTAATTGGAAAGAGTAAATTACTTTTTTAATATGTAATTATGAATTATAAAGAGAAAAATGATTAAAAAAATTAAAAGGAAGAAATTGGGGAATCTGAAGCATTATTGGGGGAAGAGAAGGCTGTGTTTGAAGCCTTCCACGTCACCGCTCTCTTTTATTTATTTATTTAATTTATTTCTTTTTTGTTTATATAAATATATATCTTTGCCATTGCTTTTCATTTCAACTTCCCAGAGAGAAATGAAGATGGGTTTTCAATTTCTAATGGTTTTGGCTTTATTTGCCACTTCTTCAATGGCTCAGGCTCCCGGCGCTGCTCCGGCTCAGCCACCCACCACTCCGGCCGTTCCTCCGCCGTCTACTCCTCCCCCAGTAGTCGCTCCCGCCACCCCACCACCGGCTGCAACCCCACCTCCCGCCACTCCTCCACCAGCCGTGACCCCACCTCCTAGCCAACCACCATCATCCCCACCGACCCAACCACCAGCTTCACCTCCCACATCACCAACCCCACCACCAAAGGAAGGCCCGGCCTCATCTCCGACACCATCCTCTGCCTCGCCGCCATCACCACCATCGGAAGGAATGGGCCCGTCCGCTAGCCCTGGACCCAACTCGCCGCCACCTCCACCGGGAGATAACGGCGCAGCCACCGTTAGCCGGGGAGTGATGGTGGGCGGCGCTGTGGCGGGAGCTCTGTTGGCAATGGTGTTTGCTTAGATAGATTTGTTGAGGGAATTTAAAATTGAAATTGAAATTGAAATTGAAATTGATGTAGCGTTGTTTGTTTAAAATTAATTTGGTGTATGTTTTGTGGATTTGGAGTTTGATTATTGATTTGTTGTTGTTCTTCGGTGATTCATTATTCTAATTGTTGGTTACATATCATAGTGTACATCCAATTATCTTCAATAAACATTCATACATTTATGATGCATTAAAACAAAGTGAAAGTTTCTCTAGATCTCGAACAAATTACTACCACTTTTTTTAGAGATAAAATAAAATATTCTATGTTCGATAAATTTCGAATAAGACGTTTTTAGATCTGATAGATTTTGAACGAAATTTCTCTAGACGTTCTAGAATGTTTCTGATCTCAAATCTAAAAAAAGTCTAGTTTACTTGTGCGATTGTAGTGGGACGTCTTGGGGCTAGATGTTACAATTGCACCCCTCGAGACGTTTACAAGTGATTGCGTGGCAGTCACTTGCAATTTCGTGTGAGTCAGCTAATTCAAAATTGTGTCACCTATGGCTGGATGACGTATGTTCAAGCCTCTAGGTCCTGTTTGATAAAAATGTTTTAGAAAACGAGGGCAAGGAAATTTTTGAAAGAGAGTTCAAAAGGAAAGTTGAAAACAAAGTCATAGACTATAAATGAGAAAGGCAACCCAACGGCTTAGATAACATGTAACTCACCAAGAATTGACGACTAGTCACATGGGGTTTGGCAATGAAAGTGGTAATGGAAAAGAGCGAAGTGATACAACACAAGGGGTTTGACATGCAAGGGGTATGCGGCCATGGGTAAGATGCCTACAAGCATGATCTCGACACTAGACCTAGATTTACAAGTCAAAGATAGAGGAAGAAAGAGAAAAAAATAAAAGAGGAAGAAAAGACGTTTGAGGTTGAGTCAATAGATTTGAGTGTGAGGTTGAGTTGTCAAAGGGTTATTGGAGTTAGGGGTGTACATGAGCGGGTTTGATTGGGTTGAAGGAATTTTTTAGACCAACCCAAATGTTCGGGTTGGTTGAATTAGTAACCTAACCCTCCTCTCTATTTTATATCTACGACAAATATATGTTTCTAAACTCATTTAATTATTATGAATATTTCTTTTTATTCTTTGTTCGAATAAAAAAATTTATAACCGTTCACGTCCACCACAAGTAGTTATTGTCTACTTTAGCTCGTTATGCATAGCTGTTAGTCTCAAAATGAGCAACTTTTCATTCTCCTCTTCCATCAACCTAAAATATAGTAATTTTTCATTTAGTTTGAAGGGGATTTGAACAGCCTCTTTACTTGGAAAACTTAGACTTGGTGTCCAAAGAAGCGTTGAAAAAACGGGCAGCCTCAGCCGTCGGCCGTCAGCAGCCGCCATCTTTGCTTGCACAAATATACCTTACACCGCCCCTTTTCTCTATTTATTCTCCTTCCCATCTCTCTCTCTCTGTCTGTCTCTTAAAATGGCTACAAACATCATAGAACAGGAATCCACCGTACCCCTTTTGCAATCGAAGCCTAAACACAATGGCAATGGAGCCCTCCCGACAAGGATTTGGGTCGAGTCCCAAAAGCTCTGGCACATCGTCGGTCCAGCCATCTTCAGCCGCCTCGCCTCCTACTCCATGCTGGTCATCACCCAAGCCTTCGCCGGCCATTTGGGCGACCTCGAGCTTGCCGCAATGTCCATCGCCAATAATGTCATCGTCGGCTTCGATTTCGGCCTCTTGGTAATTTCCGTTGAACTTCTTATACTCAAACTGGACAATATCATAGAGTCGTGATTCCTAATAAAATTAATACCCGATTTTGCAGTTGGGGATGGCCAGCGCCTTAGAGACGCTTTGTGGGCAAGCTTATGGAGCCAAGAAATTCCACATGTTGGGGATTTACATGCAGCGTTCTTGGATTGTTCTGTTCATTTGCTCTGTTTTGATTTTGCCCATTTATTTATTTGCAACCCCTGCTCTGTTGCTTCTTGGGCAGCCGCCGGATTTGGCAGAGCTTGCAGGGAAAGTGGCGGCGCTATTAGTGCCTTTGCATTTCAGCTTTGCTATTCAATTTCCTGTACAGAGGTTTCTACAGAGTCAGCTAAAGACAGCGGTGATTGCTTATGTTTCGCTGGTGGCGTTGGTGGTGCACGTTTTGGTCAGCTGGTTGCTTGTTTATAATCTGGAGCTTGGGCTCGTCGGAACCGCCATTACCACTAATATTTCGTGGTGGGTTTTGGTTTTGGGGCTTTTTTTTTACGCCGTCTGCGGTGGCTGCCCTCTCACCTGGCCTGGGTTCTCCGTTGAAGCTTTTTCTGGTCTCTGGGAGTTCGTGAAATTGTCGGCTGCTTCAGGGATCATGCTCTGGTTTAATCCATTTTCTCTCATTGGGTTTGTGTTTTTGTTTGTCATTGATTTGAATTTGAGATATTGAAATGTTTTGCAGTTTGGAGAATTGGTATTACAGAATATTGATAGTGATGACTGGGAATCTGGAGAATGCTAAGCTCGCAGTGGATGCTTTGTCTGTATGGTAACAGATCTAACCCTTTTGTCATTTGTTTAGTATCCATTGTTTGTGCAATCCCTCATAAACAAACAAAGAACACTCAAATTTTGGTTGTATTTGCAACTAAATCGGTGTCTGGTAGGTAGGGGGTGTTCTTGTGACTCGAAAATTCTTGCTATCAAACTCAAATCCTAAGGGCTGAGTTGAGTTCGGTTTGGTTTTTTTGGTTTGAGTGAGGTTGAATTTTTAGAAGATTGGAAATTTGGTTTGACCCATGTTGGAGTTTTTTTTATGGGTCAATCTGATCGCCTCGAAAATTATGTTTTATAACCCAAGTGAGTCGTACAGTATTTTTAAGATTGTTACGAAGATTAAAAATATTTGAGGTTTGTAGCGATGGGTTGTGACGTATAAATGTTGGGTAATTGAGT